GACTTATGGTGAGCTCATGTAAGTTGAGTTGAATTGCTCCGTGTGGGTTTTGAAGGTTGTAATCTTTCAGAAGCAGCTCCCCAGGCCTGTCTTCTGAGACGCAGGGAGGAGTGTAAGAATTCAAGGAAATAGAGTTGTTGTTGTTGTTAGGTGCCATCGATTCAGTGGATGGTCCTAATTTAGATTTTCAAGGAATTCAAATAAAGTGAGACGCTGTTCATGCATGCAGTGCCCACAGTGCTCACCTGGACCTATGTTGATATGGCTCAAAGCAGCCAGGGACACCTGAAACCCACTCACCTGGAACAGGTGGCAAACGCTGTGGCAAATGGTGTGAGGAGGCCCAGCAGAAAGTGATATGGGTTTTTTCGTGTAAAAACAAAATAAATAAGTGGCAGAACAATGATTCCATGAATTAAGTGTCCTAGTATGGATGCAAAGATATATTTGCCCAAGCTGGTCACCAGCACGACAATGTCCTTCATTTCTACAATCTTGCTTCCAACCAGGAACATGATGCCCACAGGCACATACCTAGGGCAGAAGCACAGGGTACTCATCAGTGAGGATGGTCAAGTGGAGACTGGAGTGATGATACACTTTCAAATGGGTGGTTTCCTTCTCTCCCTCTGAATAACTCTGAGGATTAGGGGTCATACCATCCCTATTTTATAGGCTGAGTACAACTGAGATTCTTACTCACCTTGGGTAATGGAGTCAGGACCAGAACTCTGACTTCTTAGAACCTTTGGACATAACACGTTTCTGGACATTCATGCTGACCGCAGTGGAAAGGCATGAAACTTAGGATCAAAGAAGCCTCCAGAGACTGACCGAGAAGTTGACTGTCAGTTTTGCTTATGCGTGTTCTGTGACTTGGAAACGCAAAGGACTAACACCTCCTTCACAGACTTGCTGTGAGGCAAAACTGAGCCAGAGCTGGGGCTTTTGTGAAGCTTTAAACCCTTCTGTACTTCAGAAAACATGATTCTGTGGGGAAAAGTCATTAACAATAACATGTAGGGAACTCTGAGTGCAAAGATTTTTTTATGGAAGGATAGAAAAGAGGAAAGGGAGAAATATTAACTATGGGAGCTACAAAGAAAAAGAGTCAGGTTTTTTTTTTTTTTTTACTGTAACACAGACTGAGGAAGAATTTTATAACTACTGACTTTATTTATGTGTACATTTTAATTGTTGTTAAGTGCCGTAAAGTCAGTTCAGACTCATAGCGGCCCTGTATGGGGTTTCCAAGGAGCGGCTGCTGAGTTTGAACTGCTGACTTTGTGTCTCAAATTGACCTTGTGGCCCAGTGCTTTCTCTATGGCACTATACCAGGACACCACATTTTAAATATATAGGTTATAATGTCATATAGTTCAGTTTTCAAAAGGTTCAAAACGATGAACAGTCCAAAAGCTCCCTGCTATCTGCTTCCTTTCCTGAAAATAAGTCACTGTCAACTGGTTTCTTGACTCCCCCCCCCACCCCAGAGATATTCTAAGAGTATTATTAATGATAAGTTCCATTATAATACATGAATACTCTTCTTCCAAGAAATGAAAACTTCATAGATTAGGCCAAAAACTTCTTTAGGCACCATCCTCAAGCCAGTTTCCTCCTCAGATGACCATTCCAACTTCCCAGACATTTAGGAACATATGTATCTACTTCAATTTGAATGCCTATTTTCCACCCCACACACAGGCCTTTGAGATCTTTGATTTATAGAAATCTACCTTATTTCCTTTAAATACCACTCTCAGATCAGAATACCATAGGCTGTTTTGCCATGGCTCACCTGGTGGGCTCGTATTTCATCACTGCAAACAAGCTGTCTCATTGTGATACCCTCATGCCTAGTTCCTCTAGGCAGAGACACCAAGAAGTGGGGCTAGGAGGCATGTGGGTGTACACATTTTAAACTTTAGTAAATACTGCCCAGTTGCTCCCCAAATAGCTATTCCAATTCACATTGCCACCAGCAGTTTAGGAGAATAATCCTTCCCCTAGGCCAGCGGTTCTCAACCAGGAGGGTGGGAGGTGGGATGATTTTGCCCCCAGAAGGCAGCTAGCAATGTCTGGATGCATTTTTTGGGTGTACAGTGTTGGAGTGGGATTGCTACTGGCATCTGGTGGGTAGAAGCCAGGGACCACAGTCCAACATTCTACAACGTACAGGGCAGCTCCCAACAAGAAGTCAATGGTGATGAGGAGAACCCTGCCCTCACTGAGACCAACGCCTCATAAAGCCACTTTTCATTTTCCCTGATTTGTAATGAGACTGGACACACATTTGTTGGTCGTTCAGGTTTCCTTTTCTGTTCACGTACTTGCCATGTTCCTAATAGTATTTCAGTCTTTTCCCTTTTCAGTAACTGGAAGTCTCCTTATCAGTGTTTCTCAAGCAATCTTTGGTGAAAGATCAGTCTATTTCTATTTTTAGCCCTTTGTGGGGCTGTCTACAAACAACAAAAATTTAAAATAAAATGCAATGTAAATACTAAGAAAAATGATCATATGCTTGGATGTTGCAGCAATGTGAAATTGCTGTAAAAGTTTCAAAACACATAACCACAATTTCCCTATAAATCTCATTGAGGACAAACAGTTTTCTACTGGATATTAATGCTTTGAAATCTGTGTGTGTATATGTATACATTTACATACATAGAGTAAACAAAAACAAAGCCATTTTCCCAATACTTTTTTGTCTTTTAACTTTTTTTCATGGTGTATTTTGCATGTAGATAATTTCTATTTTGATGTATAGTCACATTTAGCAGTGCTTTATGGCTTTTGTATTTTCTTTAGGACTTTCCCAGCTCTTATATTTTCTTTTCATACATTTAAAGGGCTTCCTGTTTCCTTGTTTTTCTTTCCTTCTTGGTTAATTTCACCCAAGAGTTGGCACCACGAGTTTTGTAAATAAAGATTTATTGGAACACAGCCACACTCATTCATTTACCTTTCACTTATGGCTGCTTTGACACTACAATAGCAGAGCTGAGTAGTTGCAACAGAGACCTATGGCTCACAAAGCCTAAAATATTTAGTATCTGCCCTTTAAAGAAAACTGTTTGCCAGCCAAGTGTGTAATTCATCTAGAAAGTATTTCTTGGAATAGTGTAGGGTAGGC